GCCAAATTTAAATGTTGACAGGGCCCTCTTAGTCGCTCCGCCCCTGTGCTGCATAGTGTGCAATCGCTGTGCGCGTTTATTCGCGTTACATTCCGTTGAAGGATGTTTTCCTTTTTTTATGAATAGAGTTTTGGATACAGAGCGTTCGTGCGTTACTTGTATCGCGAAACTTCTAACGGACTTCCGCAGGTTTTGTTGGAAGCTTTTGGTGCACTTGCGGATGCAATTCAGCTACGTATTCTCGATCGTAAGCGCAGTATTAGCCGCTTTATGAATCGGCGCAGTTAAATTTGCAATTGCAATTATTGAATTTAAATGAAGTGAATTTATTGATTTATTTGGAATACTACGATAGATCGAGGATACCAGAGAGCCTCTTAGTTCCCTATGGTTTATCATTTAATATCTTGGGGTGTTAATTCGTCTCGCTATTGGTTTAATTGGATTTTCACGCGATTAATTATATTGGGTCGCGCAAGCGCAGTACGACTTTGTAACAGCTGTTCGATCACGCGCTAAGCGCGTGATCACGGTTCGCGAGAGTTTCGCGGCTGTCGTGACAGTTCGCGTTGTCATAGCAACGCGTCTGGCGTCGTTGAACGTGACGTTCGCCTGCGCGCAAATTTCGGCGGACGTTACACATATATTAAAGCAAACTGGATGACAAATTTAACGCATGCGAACGTGACAAAAGTCAAGCGACAACTGAACAATTTAACGCAGTAACCGGTGATGCAAAGTCACATAATGTTTTTAATTTTTATCATATATCGTGACTTCTCCAGTGAGTTTTACTTTGATTGACGATTTAAGGGTAATACATTTGATCTTTTAGATTGTACTCAATTTTTCATATTATTTCACAGTTTGATTGAAATTTCAACATTCAGTCTACCAACTATTTGGGAACAATTTTTGTCTATCGACGTACAATCCATCGGAGATTGCTAACTTAAATATTCATTCAAGAAATTTAAATGCCTACTACTGTCGGAGCTGGATCTTCGTTGCTTTAAATAATTCAATCTTGAATTACTAATATATACTATATATGTACTTGCATATATACCATATTGTAGTCTTTTTCTCTCTCTAACTGCACGCCGAATTGTTTTTCCAGACTAAATAAACGCAATTAAAACTACTCTAGTAATCGCGAATTAAATTGACAAGCAATTTAATAATTTGATGCTACCATCAAGCATCATATATTATAAATATGTTAATATATTAAAACTGTTAATAAATTTATTGCGAAAAATATTACCTCGGCCGGGACTTGAACCCGGATCTCTAAACCGTACGAGCGTCCTGAGCCATTAGACTACCGAGCCAAGCCGGCCGAGGTGGCCGAGCTGTGGCCGAGGTAATATTTTTCTTTTTTGATGATTTATCAGGCTTTTGTTAGAGAATAAAGCAGAGAATAAATTTTATATAATATTTACAAGACTAGCACATCCCTTGCGCGCTGTCCACTTCATTCTTTTTTCAGACATTATATATTTTTATGTTGCCTTTTTTAAATTTTTATTACAAACTTTGTATTTCTCTTTTTCCTTCTTCTTTATTTAATTTTTTGTACATTTTAAATAATTTTTGTCGTTTTTTTTTAAACATTACAGTTGTGTTACGAAAATAAAAGATTTATAATTGAGAATAATTTAAATCAATTACATAGTTCAAATTGATGTGGGGTAGAATACATTCCATTTACCCATTTCAAACAACAACTTGAATACGTTTACCATTACCATTATTTAGAAAGAACTTAAAGAATTTAAATTTTTTCAAACACACTACCCAGCTCCCGAATATTGGTGCAACCATTTTAATTGTCACAAATTTTGAAGCCAAATTCGTGATTTTGAATTTTCAAATTTTGAGTCCTGATTCGAAATCAGCAACCCCTAAATCTCCATCATACGAAAATTCATCAAAATCGGAAAACCTTTAAGAATTCCATTAGACATATTGGTTCAGCCATTATAATTTTCAAATTTGAAGAATAATTCGAAATCAAAGACCTCTGAATACCCCTTAAACAAAATTTCACCGAAATCGGAAAACCTTTAAGAATTCCGTCCGCCATATTGGTTCAGCCATTTTGATTTTTTAAATTTTGAACCCAGATTCGTAATAAACGACCCCGAAATCCCCCTTATACGAAATTTCACCGAAATCGGAAATCCTTTAAGAATTCCATCCGCTATATTGGTACAGCCATTTTGAATTGTCAAATTTTGAACTCGGATTCGTAATCAACGACCCCGGAATCCTCCTTATACGAAATTTGCCGAAGTCGGAAAAACCTTTAAAAATTCCAAACGCCATATTGATTCAACAATTTTGAATTTTCAAATTTTGAAACCTGATTCGAAATCAACAACCCCTAAATCCGCCTTATAAGAAAATTCACTGAAATCGGTAACTTTTTAAGAATTCAATCGGCCATATTGGTTCAGCTATTTTAAATTTTCAAATTTTAAAGCCAAATTCGCAATTTTGTGTTTTCAAATTGTGAGATCTGATTAGAAATCGGCGACCTCTAAATACCCCTTATACGAAATTTCACCGAAATTGGAAAACATTTAAAAATTCCATCCGCCATATTGGTTCGGCCATTATGAATTTTCAAATTTTGAATCCGATTTCGGACGACCCTTAAGGGATCCGTCACATGCGGCGTAACCTGCGTAAGCGTAACCTGCGTATTCTAGTAATTTACTAGAATACGTTATTTTTTATTTACTAGAATACGCCATTCTGAAAGCCCGCATTCACATTGAGCGTATTTCGCGGAAGATTAGAGAAATGCGGAACTAATGCAACCAATTGCTGATTAGAATTTCTGTTGTACACTCTAACAGAAATGCTAAATGAATTTACGATTGGTTTTCGTAACCTACGCATCTCGAAAAGTACGTCTCATGGGGAACCGGTACCTTTCCATCGCGTATATATGAGCGGATGATCGAATAAATTATTAAAATCGGAAAATTTTGTGAAACTACTCTTAGGTTTATTCGACGCGTTTTTGCATGAAATAAAAGAATCTGGCAAAAAAAACGTTGTTCTGCCTTGTGATCTCAGATATTAAGCGTTAAAGTTGACGACTATTGAGGTTAGGAAATCTGTCACAGAGGCAAAATGAGGTCTATAATTGTACTGTTCCACATGGGTTTCGACTTTTCACGCTATGCAAAGGGGCGCACGACTTTTATAATTGTACTGTTGCAAAATCGAAACCCTTGTGCACTTTTTCAGACAGAATAAGCTAAAATGAGCCAGAAATTAGATTCGACGCATAGTGGTTCTATCATGTTTCGGCGTAACAACAAAATAGCGTAAAAAGCATAAAGTGACTAGACAGAAACTGAT